AGGAACGCCACTCGTCACCAATCTTACATAAAGCAACCCCTGGCTTGGAAAGTGTAGTGCCTTCTTAGAGATGTCTGGGTCGTCAGCCCCAAGCTGGGCCTGGCAGCAGTATGGTCCGTGCAAACTTGGCACAGATAATTCCAAGCCTGGATAAATCTCTCATGATAGTTGTGAGATAAGTACATGATGAAGTGAAGCTGGTGTAGTTCAGTTTAGACACTGTGTCAGAACATGTCCTCACTCTCCGATTGAGACTGAGATTAGTATAGTTTGGGTTAAGTTTAGGTTTATTTCTGGAAGTGGCTCTTTAAAGTCATACTCTTTTTTTTCACGTTCAGATTTGTAATCTTGTGGTACTTGTAGCAATTATCCATTGATAGTAACTCAAACTGCAGTTTAACATTTGTTTTTTCCCTCTCCTTAATGTATTAGTGCTTGCTCAGTAGGAGTAGATATTTATAGAATCTCTTGCAACTAATGGCACAAAGCACATTTCCCCCCTCCCTTCAATTATAGCTCACTGTTCCCTCACTCACTATTGCTTGTCACCTTGGGCTGGCTGCCAAACCTGAGCTGGCTTGGTATGTTTTGCTCACTGATGGGCCTTGTTATCTTTTCTCAAGCTGATTGTAGCCGTTGAACAAGATGAAATCCCAAGACTCAAGGCTCTGTATGAAAGAGGGCTGCAGAACAACGTCCCAGGTCTGAAACTGATTGGAGCAAAGGAAATACAAGCGAAGGAACCATTCTGCAGGGTAAGGGATTTGCTCAGGTTTATTTGGCATACAAGACCTCAGTTTCTCAGGTGAACTTGTTTTTTAATGTAACATAAATAGGTTTCTGGCCTTGAGGTAGTTTGCACAGGTGACAAGTTCAAAAGAGCCTGAAAACCCAGAAGAAATATAATTGGCAACAAAAATAAATCCATTTATTTCTGGAACTTTATAGCTCAGCCCTTGATAATCGTCGCCTCCGGTGTCTCCTACTCACCTCTTCTTGTTCCCGTGCTCGTCAGCTCACAGTTCGTCAGCGCTCTGTGTGCTGAAGCCACAAAGAGCTGCTGCTGCACTCACTGCAAGTGATGTGCTGGCTGTTTCCTAAGGGCCAAATTCACAAATTAGAGAGCAGGTAATCCATCTCACTGGCAGCCTGCGAAGGGAATCGGTATTATCTGAATCTAATTATTTGAGTTTTTGTGGTTGATAGGCAGATTTTCCTTTGCCCGGGTTACAGCTGCTATATCTGAGCTTATGCTGAGATGATTCTGCTCCTTCCCACTAAAATTACTTAACTTACAGTAAAGCTTGATAGCGTAGCAATGAAAATTCCTTCCCATCTGTAAGTGCGGGTTTGGATCAAGCCAGTTTCAGGCCAGCTGCTTCTCACACAGATTGTTAAGCAGCACTTCCCAGCTTGTTGGTTTTCGCAGCAGGAGAAATGTGAGTAGTTAATGGAACACAGATTTGGTGTTGGTTAACATCTCTGAAAGGAAAATCTGGATATAAATGCCCCGTACGCTTTCACCTGCAGCTTGCTGTTGGCGTAGCTGCGTGACTTAGGAGTGGTTGTAGGTACAGACAAAAATTAGCTGGAGAAGAATCATTTTTATCCTTTTGTTCTCATAAACATTTTGTATCTGCCCCTTAAAACATTCTTCGCGTGTTCAAGATCCAGCTGAGCATTTACTTCTGCAAACGGGTGGGTCCGGATGGGTCTTACTTCATTTGTTTTGGTCTCCTGAGCTGGGTCCTTTCCTCATCAGCAAAGGGAACTGGAATGGTGTTAGAAAGCACTGCACCGTGTATCAAGTGGAGAGGAAGGTTTTGTGTAAGGTACCGGTTTACCAACCACTCTGGTTGTCTTGGGCACGTAAATGCCCCTTGTTGTTGTAGTATCCGAGCGGCTGACAGTCTTTTAGTGTAGCTACCCTTGCGGCATCTGTCTGAGACGTCCTACTAATCCTTATTTTATAGCTGGAACTAGGAAAATACTGGGATGCCATCTAGCGTGATAAAAATTATGTGAGAAACCAAGCCTTTTTGGTACGCAGATAATAAAACGTCTCTGAGAAACACTGAAAGTTCTAGCTACATACCAGGCTTGAACCTTGCCTTCTGCTGGGACACGTGTAGGCTGTTAAGGGACTTTCTCTCTGCTGTGCAATGCTGTGGGCGTTGAGGCCTGGCTAGGTCACATCTTTTAGCCTCGCGGGAGGCGCTGGCAATGCCACGCGTCGGGTGGAACTCCCAAGCGACCATCGGGAGGTGGGATTGCAGGGTGAAAAGTAAGTACAAGCTAGCTGAAGGTAAGGTTGGGTAACCTGTTTCATGGTTAGGCGCGCGGTCGAGAAGACTTGTTTATGCTGTATTTAATCCATCCTAAGTCATGTTTGCCACCTGAGTTGTCAGCAACACGAGCGCTGTAGCTGGCACGTGGAGGGACAGCAGCAAGCCCTTCTCAGCAGCGATGCACCTTGTTCCAGATGAAATATTCTCTGTAGGGAAGACTGAAGCCCACGCACAGCCTGCACTGTTCTGTACCTTACTGCTGTTGCAGGGGCTGATGGCTCTTGATTCCCCCTATACCGGCATTGTGGATTATAAACAAGTGGCCCAGGCCTACGCTGAAGACTTCCAGGGAGCAGGTGGGACGATCTTGACTGGTTTTGAAGTTACGAACATGCAGATGGCTAAAGAAAGTTCTTCAGAGAGTGAAGATGGTAAGGCCGCTTTCTGCCCTCTGCCTCCTGTAGTCCTGCCAAAGATTTTGTTCAACACAGGTTTGCTTTAGCTGAAATGACAGCTCTGAACTTTTCTGTCTCATAGGGATGAGACAAAAAGCAAAGTTATCTTTAGTGAGAGTATTGAGCAAGCTCACTTCTTTTTTCCCCCGCAGGCGGGTCACCCTTCGGCTGAAACATTTAAGGCTGATGGAAGAACAGGATAGCAAAAGTGAGGAAGAGGGCTGTTCTCTCCTATTAAAATCAGCTTTAGCTGAATAGTGCACGTGTATTCTTGTGATAGCGCTTTTCCTTCATCCTAGATGGCAGGTTGGATCTGTGCTGACACACGTAATAATAAAATTAAATAAAAAATAGTATTAAAAGAATTTTAAAAAGGGAAGAATAAACCTCCTGTTAATTTATAAATACAGTTATGGGCAACAACATCAGTTATATCCAGCACTAGTTGCTCTACAGCTCGAAGATATTCCAGTGGAAGACTTGTGACAAGCTGCCTGTTCTGTCAGTTTTCTGTTACCTGCTCTATTAATTCCTTCTCTAATTCCGTTACAGGACTGAAATATCCAGTCATCGTTAGGAACTCAAAGGTAAGAACTAAGCTGAAGATCTCATTGCTTAAGAGGAAGCTGTTTCTCCTTTTTGGTGGATTAATCAGCTCTCCAAAAAAAGTTAAAGGGCTGCTGCTCAGCAGCACGATCACCATCACCTGGGGCTGCTGTTACAAAACCGCTGCAGTCAGTTCTTAGCAACCAGCAGGTTCAGGTGTTTTGGGAATAACAACCAAAGTATAACTTTCCCTTTCTGCTGCCTCACTTATGTTTAACTGTATATATCCCTTTTTATTTGCACATTCTTATGCTTGTTGTTTCCAAGGATTCCTTTTTATGACTTACTCATTTGGTGAGAAACACCCTTTTTCATGTTTGCTTTTGGTCTTTGGCATCTGTAAAAATGATAAGGAGGCATTTAGAATCGTTTCATCATCAGAAAACCACAGGCTGGTGTAGTAAAACAGGTACGTAGACAGGTGGCACTCTGTGAGTCAGGTGATGTGGTTGTCACCTTTTCACCTTTAGGAGAGAGGATCCGGACTCCTCTTTGGAGGGAGGTGAACACAAGAAAACAGAAAACAACCTCACAACCCCTCCAATATTTTTTAAAGTTAGTGCTGCTGCTTTTTACTTCTATTTCTGCACTTTCATTAAAAAGTAGTTTCCCAAATCTGTTAGATTTCCTTACCAGAGACTGGTATTTTTTTAATGGAAACATTTTTAATGGGAAAAAAAAAAAAGGAAGAAAACCCACATAGTGTTTAAAACCAAATACTGTCAGCTACATGAATAGACAGCTAGCAGTTTGTGAGTTGATTTAGGTGGCAAGGTGTTCGGTACCGAACAGCTCTCCACAGCTGTGTGCTGTGAACTTGGGGAGCTTTCTGGTTCAGTGGTATGACCGCTGCGGGGGTGTGGGGTGAAATCTGTTCACAGCCTGATTTAACCAAAGGCACTGGGGTTGCTTAGTCACCCCGGCATCACCTGCCCTCTGGCAGCGCTACCCGGGCACCAGGGTTTTGCCGGATGCCGAGATGAGGGAGAGCCAGGGGCAGACGCTTGGTTTGCTGGAGGAGCAGGGTGTTTGATGCGCTGGGCCTCTGCCCTGCTTCTCTATGTGGGGACTGACCCTGAAGGTAGGCTGAGAATCGATGATGTGTCTCTTGTTTTATTTTTTTTTTAATTCCCCTCCTCACCCCTCTTTAATAAAGGCCCTTCCAGTCCCACCTGCCCAATAAATGACCATTTTAGGGTAGTTCTCCACAAAATAAAGGAGAATATTATAAAGAATTCAATTAACCAATTAAATATTTCTGCTTCCTTTTCAAAATATGGTTGGTTTTCCTTCTGGTCTTGACTAATTTTTTTCCAAGCCTTGTAGGTGATGGGTGGTTTTTCAGTAGGTATGTTGAATTTTTGTGTGTTTTGCTTTGGGTTGGGTTTTTTGGTTTTTGTTTTGGTTTTTTTTTTCCACAGGGTGAGGAAATCTACTGTCGGCATATTGTGACCTGCGCAGGACTTTACTCAGACCGCCTGTCTGAGATCAGTGGCTGCAGCCCTGAGCCTCGTATTGTGCCTTTCCGGGGAGATTATTTGGTGCTAAAACCAGAAAAGTGCTATATGGTTAAAGGAAATATTTATCCGGTATGTGCTCTCGTTTCTCTTTACGGTGTACTCTAAAAACTGCTACAACAACAGAAATAAGGGGAATGTTAGGTGGTTATTTCTGTTAGACCATAGATAGCGATGAGCAACATATGGGCATAGGTTCAGTTGCTTTCTGACAGGACAGCCTGTTTTTATTCACTCTTGAGGAACAGGTGGAAGTACCATGAGGGAAATTATTGCCAGTCGGTTTTTTTATTAGTGTTTTTGTTGTTATTTAATAGGGAA